CATCAGAAATTAACAATTCAGATGCATGGTGGTGGGATAACTAATTTTTTGACATCCTTCTGGTTATCATATCAGTGATGTCCAAGTCGTTCTTATTGGAACACTAGTAGCCCCTTCGACTACCATTTGAAACGTGATAACATCATATCATTGGTTTCTTCTCAATAGAAAATATATATCATTCGGCTTCTTCACACGAGCCCTTGCTAGTTTACATATTATATCCGAATAATATTATTTTACAGACAGGCGTAGGTACCGACTTATTGTAGCAGTATTGTGTACCCTTAAACCACAAACATATTTTATCTATTTATTATCTTCTTAACGGATTACACGTGTGCAATGGTAAACATGTACCTATACATATATTTTACAATTCCAGCAGAGAATATGCCCTTGTTTTAGTAATATCCCTCAATATAATTTCTATTTCTGTGCGATTTGGAGAAGTAAAAATAGTGAAAAGTGGCTTCCAAGCAAGTACAAATATTAGAAATAAGTTTAAGTTTATTGGCGAAAAGGTTAACAATGCCTTACGGCGGTCCTCCAAAACAGAAAATATAATGTCATTCATGTTTATTTGGTGTGTTATACAGCTAATTCAACATGCATTTCGATTGCTGAGAAAGTATGAACGTACATATTGAGCGATGACCAAGCCCTGTATATACACCTTGATCGTGGGCTTACAAAGCTCCTTGTCCAGGTTCTTACTAAGTTTGCCAATTATTAAAGGGCATATATGTAACTACAGTATAACAGTATATACAACCAACCGCGGTTGTATCGTTGCTTGTGGCTATGCTCCTAAAATATCTTATACCCCAAAGCCCATTTAGTTTAGTCATTGCGTGGTCAGAGCCATTAGAATAAAACTAAAAACATTTATTTGATATAAGAATACATATATATCAGATCTAATACACGTGGTCCAGAATGCATATGGTTCCTGGGTTTTTTTACCTCGCCTTGGTTAGGAATCAGGTAGGTGTCTTTAGATAGACTGAAAACAACTGGGTTATTCGTAAACAAATTCCTTGGCTTCCCATCTTAGTTAATTGAAAGGTTACCTCTTGTAATCAAAGTAAATGTGCTTATCATTTTTCTACTTTTCACACCAATTGTTCGTTATATCAGGAAAACGATACTGAATGATAAGGAACTGTTTACGTTATTGAGCTTATATCTCAAATTAAGCCTCGATGTTTTCTTCGTCGACTCCTGTACATTGGTAACCGAACCTCCCTGGAAAAGCAAATAGCTTCTCTTAATCCAAAAGAAATGTTTGGAACCAGACTACCTTTCATCACCTAATTTCTTGTTATCATCTGATCCGGTGGTCATATAACAAATCGGTGAACCCAGTTCCAAGAGTGGCAGTTGACTGGCCTTATAATAGTTCATTAGTTAAATATCTATGACATTTAGAAATATAGTCAACGATTTCTTTTTTTTTTTGTGCACTTAAATATACCCGCTATCGAAACTAAACTACGCGATTACTTATTAGAATTTAGAGGTTAAACAATGAATGTTCAAGTTGTACGATTTGCGCACTTAAATATACCTGCATGCGACACTAAACTACGCGATTACTTACTATTATTTAAGGGTTAAATTTTACGATCTGCGGACTTAAAAATACCCGCATTCGACACTAAACTACAAGATCACTTACTAGTATTTTAGGATTAAGAAGTGAATGTTTCAGTTGTAGGATTGAATGCTTTAAGGTTTTTTTTATAAATCGCTAAAATTTAAATTTGCGCATTTTATTTCCTGTGATTAATAAACCATTTAATGTAAAAAAAATGAACGTCTTTATAATTCTTTTGTAATCACGAAAACAGCTTGGCACAATAAGACGGGTCAGTAGTACTGCAATCCTATTTCGTTTCGTTTTTATAGTTCAAAATTTCGTTTTACTTGCCTTTACTACACTAGGATATGGAAGAGTTACGACGCACTTTTAGCGTGTGGTGCACGGAACTGTGGGTAATCCACTAGAAACCTCAACGCTGATTGGTTAATCAAATGTCTTACGTCATAGAGTCAACAGCCGCTCGTATGCCCCCTGACGCGACCTCCCAAAACAACTTGTCAGTCGTACAAGGGGAACTTCAAATGGAATAGCGCATAGCCTTGCGGATTAAACAAAAATCCCGATCCAAAGTACACGTTGACATGTACGTTAAATAACCCTAAGCAGTTGGAATCATCATAGCACACTGCATCGTATATGCTCATCTTCATTAGGGGTGGGGGTTGTTGGATGGCCGAATGGTTAGCGCGTGCGCGTTGTATAATAAGGTCTCTCACTGAGTCAATTGGCATGGTTTCCCGGCTGTACGTGACAAGGAGTAGGTTTGTATGTCCAACCTCGTGGGTTTTCTCCGGGTCCCCCGGTTTCCTCCCACTGCTAAAGACCCCTATCAATTGATGAAATAAAATGGAACCATGTGTTAGTCCCTAAATGACCTAGTTTGTGTTGAGTGGACGTCAAACCCCATTTCTCTCTCTTTCTCCCGTCTTCATTGAGAATCCGATATCAAAAGTTTTCCTTTAGCTGTTGTCTGAAATCAGATTTGAATGTGGTTGTTTTTAAGTTTTGGTTTAAATGTTTTATAGATTGCAGTATACTGCTTTTTTCGATGTCAGTCGCCTGTGAGACGCAGTGCCTTTTTAATTTTACTAATATCTTAGATAATGTAATCTAGAGCTCATAACAAATGCATTTTTAGGGTTGATTTTTTTTTGTTTTGATGACTGGAGTACATCACAATTATATATTATTTCATCATACGTTGGAGTTTAAGTGTTCTTCAGAAAGTTATGATTTAAGATGTTATGTAAAGCGCTGAAATGGCCATAATTCATGTTCGCTCATTATATTTTATCATTGATAAACCTATTAACGGTTCTTTTCCCATAAAAGAGATTGTATTTTGAAACAGTATGTTTTTATCTCAAATACTTTTCGTGTATATAGGTTTATCAAATAATTACTTGTATTTGTAGGTGTCTGTGCTGTCTGACTAGATATTACTGTTATTACCACTGTGAGTATTATGTTATTGTAATTCTTTGAGTGACATGACACAAGATTAATTCTTAATTTGCTGACTTTGCATCCTTGGTGACATTGGAAGTAATAGGTGGAATTGGGGTGTAGAAAATGAAGGCTGCGTCCACTTAATCGGATGAATATCAGAAACTTTTCATTCTTTGTGTTGCCTTCAAGATTTTCACTGTGTATTGTTCTTAGTTGTGTACTATAAACGGCCAATAGCAGCCTTGCTGTTACAATCGCGACTAGACATCGGCTGGGTATCTATTTATAAACTCATGAGTAAATGGTCGTGGATTATGCTGCCGATGTCAGCTGTCCGAACAGCAGCCACTGTTGATCTTATGCATAACATAAATCATTTTCCTATAGATTACATCCGTATATGTATGAGAGCTGGCTGAAAATTTCTAAGCCTAAAAAGGATAGATCAGTTGGATTGGAACAAATTTTTGCCACCAACATGTACAATCATTGAATGAATCACAGACGTAAGAACTGCAACTGTAGTGTTATTATTGTCTTCGTATCAGACCATCTTGTGAACCTATCCATTGAAATCACCTGCGCCGTTTTGAAGCAAATTTTGTAAAATTTTGGCCAGATTTGTAATTTGGATGAGACCTATTTCCAAAAATGAAAAGGAATTAGCCGGTCGTCATTTTCCTAGTAATAATGACGTCATGTCAGCTGTGAGCGACATTTTTAGAAAAAAAAATCCTGACCCGCATCCAGGCCTTGCGTTGGCAAAAGTGTGTACACCCCGAAGGGAACTATGTAGAAAAAAATGGAAACGACCGACTTTGCACCGGTCTTCCGCAGACAGGCTTAGAACTTTTCAGTTAGCCCTCGTATCTTTATATAGCAGTAAAGGGAAATTGGAAAACCCAAAGGGTTAGGCAGGTCTCTCTACCCCAGGTCTCTCCACATACCAGCCATAAACACTTATGTATAATGCATATAAATATCATTTTTATAGTACTATAAAAAAGGTGTCAACGAGGAAAAAACTAAACAAATCTACCGTAAACTGTTAGTCTTTATCACGTTGTTTTGTCTAGTTCTTTCTTATTGGATTTCGCTAAATAATAGACTTCTATACAGAGTTATGTATAAGGATGCTGCTATGATACAAGAGACTGTCAACGGGAACGGGGGATCACGTGGCTAAGTGGCTAAGACGCTGGCTCGCTAGCCTGGAGGTCGGGTGTTCGATCCCTGCATTGGCCGAAAAAGTTCATCCCAATTTTCCGGCGTGGTTTCCCCTTGTCAGTGATGCAGGACGGAGGGCCTGACAAGGACAGCTGTCTAGTTGTTCGGATGGGACGAAAAACCGAGGTCCCGTGTACACATTGGCGTGCACGTAAAAGATCCCTTGGCAGTTGGAATTCGATATAAGAGTAAGCCGTAGCGCCGCTGCCCGGGCAAAATTTCCCTCATAGCACACTGTATGGCGTATGCCCATCTTCATTAGCCAAGGTAGGACGTTAAACCCCATTTCATTTCATGTCATGTCAACGGGAACTCTAGTAATTTTCACAAAAATTGGCAGAGTAAAGAAAATTGCTCAAGAGTAGGCTGGTTATTTCATCATACAAATGTTCTCTTAGAATGATCTTAAAATTCATTGTTGTAGAACATCAAAGACGGTAAAAGAAGCCCTTTGACTTGGTTGAATTCAGGTTGTTTAATTGTGTTCACCTGTTTATTTAGATTCATAATCACGTTCCATACATTTTTATTTGACTAGAGCACGCAGAAGTTATTTGGATGCGTTTTTGACTGTTGCAAAGAAATCACAACGTTAACTTTATAAAAGGGCGTAAAATTTAAGATGACGAAAGATAACCATCTACCAAAATAAATAAAACTATCAGATTTAATCAAACATCCAAATCAAAATTAAATATGAATTAAATATTTTACTTACTTGCGGGTTAAAGGTGTGAATCGTTTCCGCTCCAAAAAAATATAATCCTCAATTTATTTGAGATAGAAGGATCTCGGATACTTTCTAAGAAGACGATAGCCTTGGCCTGACAGACGATTCAGACAATCCCAACACGTGCAGAAGAGAATGTGTTGATTTCAGCGCGAGCCGTGTTTTCTTATTATATTGGCCAATGGAATATCACCTTTATATTTGAATCTACAAAAATAGTCAAACGGCAGGCGATAAAAAAGGTCATCTAGGTTCCGTATCATATAAAAGGTAAGAAGAAAGGTGTACGGTGATGAAACATTACAAGAATCACGTTATAGTAACTAACTGTACTTACAAATTTATCTTAGAATAGAATAACACGATTATATGCATTTATATTTCAATGTCACAGTACATAGACCGTTTTTCTATATAGATATGTAATGAAATTAAATAGGGTTTAAATTCTGGCGAAGACACGCATAGGCCCCGCCAAACAGTGTGCTTTTAGGGGATTTTGCCGGACAGCGGCGTTAGGGCCTATATTATTCCGAATTACAATAGCCAAGGGTTTTTTACGTGCTCGCCAACGTATACATTTTTCGTCCCACCCGAACGACTAGACGTGTCCCTTGCCTTGCCCTCCGTCCTGCACCACTGAAAGGTGAAACCATTCCAGACAATTCAGAGCAACCTTCTCCCGGCCAACACCGTAAGAAAATTAAATAATCTGTATAAAAGGCAGTTGAGTATAGGTTGAAACACACCCACATTCTATGTGGTCATTTGTATTATAGTATAATAATGTAGTCATCGGTACCCGAATGTCCGTACGCAATTTTTATGATAAGAAAAGAAAAAATCCATGTGTCCGTCCACACTTTCTTGTCCCATCCACACTTTCTTGTCATCGCAATAGAGGCCACAGGTGTTAAGGGATTTTTCTGAACGTTACACAAAACCTGTCGATGATCCCTATTTCATTTCTTCAAAATCGGAATAATAGGTTTAGAGGTAATACCCTTTTTTTTCCGAAATAGGTGCATAGAGTTTTGATAATATTTTTCTGAAACTTTCAGGAAATACGATAAAATGAGGATACCGATTTTGTTTCCTTACGTTACTATCAGATATTGTTAGAGTTATGCCCCCTTTTTTGAAACCTGTCCACACTGCGTGTTAGCACAATAGAGGCCAGAATTTAGATCAGATATAAGATTAGGGTCTTTAAATCTTATCGTGAAACCTTTCCGAAAACAATGCGAACGTGATACAGCCTACAATTTTTCACAGATTGTTTTCAAATATTGTCTTTAGAATGATATAGTGAGACTGAGAGGTCGAACCCATAAGATATTCAGCGTTGCGCACCCTTTCTTCCATGACCAAGCCGCTTTCCCTTCTAGCTTGTGGACATGAAAGATGCTACAATCTTTAAATTTATGATTTTCCGGATAGTTTAGTTTTGTAATTATGTGAACATGCATAGTGACACACTCAACACAAGACCATTTAGGACTAAGATATGGTAAATTATCACACAGGTAAGATTGAAACCCTACCCCACTCCTGGTATTTTACAGCCTACGAATTAACTTTTTGTTGACAAACTTATGTTGATTATAAGATCAAATTTGACTAAAAGTCTCATCATTAGTAATTAATTAATTTTTGAAGCATTTATATACTGCTATTAGATTTGCGTGGTGCCATGCGAAGCAGGAATCGCGTACAACATTCCGGAGTGTAGTACAACACCGTGTTGTATGCTGGTGGTATCTTACTTGGGTTTTTCTAATACAAATCTCGATGGAGTGGGTGGATAAGCTGATTTTTTAGCTACTGGCAAAGCCCAGCTTAGGCATGGGCCAAATGGGCCCAGGCCCAGGGCCCCGCGGTTCATGGCAAAACGAGACAAAATACTATTTAATTCCAGATGAAAGTTCCACTCATCGGTCTAGTGATTGGTCGAAACCCGTGACGTAGGTCATCGCGATCGCTCGTATGCTAATTATATGCCATTTAGAACTGAATAGATTTCCTATTTGATCAGATATTATGTAATTTTTTATTGTACTGCAGACCGTTTAATTGTATGTTAGGCATGCGTGCCATTCGAAAGGATATAAAATAATATTTTCGTAGCCGTAGGTACCCTGCTCCGTTTAAACTGTTCTTTGGCTACTGGCCTCTTCTGATGGGCTCCGGATATTGTCCATTGGCAGCTCAACATTTACTCAGCTTACGTCATGGTGCGGTAAAGGGCTTTGCCATAAATTATGACATTATATTGTGTCAAATTAGTGTTTTGCTCATTATCTATATTGTGTGACATGGGCTTTTGGTAAGTTTTGCGACATCATCTATTAAACGGGTAAATTTGACCGGTTCCACACATGTTTGACTTTGGCTAATTTTGTTAAACACATTTTACACATGCACATTTTGTAGGTAAACTGCATGGGTGATGCTTTCCTAGATTTACTCATTGTGTTTTGTTGGTCAGTTTGGCAATATTATCTATTAAACGAATAAATAATTTTTAAAATTCGCAGTTTTTTAAAATCTTCTCTGTAACGTTTTGTAGGATTTTAAATACATTTTGTAGATAAGTTTCGTGTGTGTTGTTGGTCAGTTTCGGACATTATCTATTAAACGGGTAAATTTATAACGATTTCGCGCATTTTTTACTTCTTCTCCGCAACGTTTTGTAGGATTTTAAACACAATTTATAGGTAAATTGTATGGGTGGTGCCTGTCCAGATTTCATCAAATGGAATTGATTGGAGGACCCGAAAGTTGAAAATAAAGACATTAATTTTAGGACATCTCTTTTTTTTAAACCACGGGATTGATTTCAACCAAATTAGGTAGGTACATGGCTTAGATGGTTGCTTAGTTATATTTTTGGTCATTTTTGACAATGATTAAACGCCCTTGTCGGTTATTGTCTGTGTTTATAGTATGGTCGTTTTTTTTAACTGTTGGCTTGCGGTACCGTCGAAGTTCATTCACGGCTGTATCGTTTGTTTATATGGAAACAGTCCACATGCTAACTGTCTTTGATGTTTTTATATATATATACCGACTATGTTGTTTATAAACATGTATTACATATATTACAAACACGTGAAACAAATAATTGCACCAGATAAGGGAAGCAAGAGAAGATGTTAATAGTTTGAACCATGTATAAAAAATGGAAACCGTCTAAAAGTATTTCGACCCGGTCAGCATAACACCGGGTTATCTATATGTATCCAATGTAAGGTTTGTTTATTACCTTTGCTTCCAAATATCATTGAGTCTGCACAATTTCGGCACCAGAGAAGATTCGATCATGGACATGAATGAATGTCGTCATTTGAGAGGTTTGTAATCTCTTGCAAACTAACATACTCTGAAGGGTGAATCTCTACATGAAATAGCAGTCCAAAGTGTTTCAATTCCGTTCGGTATCAACAAAATATAATAATATGGATCCTTATGGGCTAGTCAGTTTAAGGTCAATCCTGTATGGGGCCCATCACTAATTGCACTGAAGCTACATCTGTCCGAATTTTCAATATAACCTTACACAAAATGTATCCAAAACCAGCTAGTATTTTGAGAAATTAGAAGAAATCCAAAATGGCCACCAACTGGCTTCAGAATTTTAAAAATGGTGAATAACTCGGTTATTGATCTCGCTAGAGTTAAGAAATTTATTACGGACAGATTGGAAGTCAACCCTTAGTCAATAACTATAAAACAAACAATATGTTGATTGATGGCTATTTCACAGGTAAAACGATATTGATTATTGTTATGTGATTGTTGTTCTAGAATATAACCCTGTAGATGTACATTTATATACCTCTAGAAAAGCCGACCCTTACCCTTCTTACATCTAACAACTATCCTTCTACCATTGTTTGTTAAATTGCACGTGTAAGGTCATCCATTCCTGTATATGGTCAACACGTGCCAGTATCCTTTAGGTTGGTTTGCATATGTACGCATGTCCTTCCGCCATAATGAATTGACGTTTTTCATTATGTTTCCTGCATGCCGGAGGGGACTAGTAACGGTAAACAAATCAAAAGAATCTGGCACCTACAATGAAAGGAAAAAGCCAGTGCGCGTTCATTAGATGATTTTTATATAGGATATGCTTTGAGGTTTTAGGTGTGGTGAATATATGTATATATTTATTATTGTTGATTATGTTATTTTAGAGTTTGCAATTTCCGGAAATAGAGGCATCGTAAGATAATGAAAGAATTTGTAATATAAGGAATTCCATGTGTATGAATCGTTTAGTTGGTTTCAGCGTATGCCCACATTCGGCATTACCGAAGTCTAAGATTGAAATAACTCAAAAATGTCGTAGTTTCTAAAATAATGTTCTGTTTTGATGGTTCTCATAGCAAACAATTCTTTCTAACCGATTTCCAATGCAAATGGAGACATTATTAATGCATGAACTAAATTAACTGACTGACGCCACACTGGGCCACCACTGACATAACCAACAGACCCACTCATTTATCAGTTTGAAATTGTTTAAAATATTTCCTTAATTCCTTAATTCATGATTTATTTCAGGGAAAAACACATGCGTGGTCATAATCTTTCAGACATGTCTTTGGCAATACGTGCTTTATAAAAACAAGTACGTGCGTAACATGGACCGTCAATCGATGCCTAATTGTCTCAGAACAGAACAACAAGATGAGTAGCCGAATGGTTAGCACGTGCGCGCTGTATCGTGAGGCCTGTCATTGAGTTAACTGGCGTGGTTTCGAATCCCCGGTTGTACGTGACAAGGAGTAGTGTTGGCTGTCCAACCTCGTGGGTTTTCTCCGGGTCCTCCAGTTTCCTCCCACTGTTAAAGACCCCTACGCGCAAGCGAATTATTGAAATAAAATTAAACCATATGTTAGTCCCGAAATGACCTAGTCTGTGTCGAGTGGACGTTAAATCCCATCTCTCTCTCTCTCTCTCTCTCTCTCTCTCTCTCTCCGTAAGTCATATAAAAATAACTCCTTGAATTTTTTTCCACCGTCACTTTATTTCATTTTGTTAAATAACTTCTATTAAGAATATTTACAATATAATGTGATACTCAGTGTATACATATTGAAAAGTTCCTATTACCACACTGCTGTCATAAGTGTCAGTTTGAAGT